GAGGGGGGGGAGGAGGAAGAGTTTTTTTTTTTTTTTTTTTTTTCTCCCCCTATATTTTTCCATTTCAGCTGCAGAGCGAACCGAAGTGGAGACTTGAGATGGCCGTGGCGGGGTGTCCCGAAAAGTCTTGTCCCCATAGTCTTGTCCAGAGCAGTTCATCCTTTCTGTTGTCTCCATGCCAGGGGGAGGGCGGAGGGGCCTCATCTCATTGTGTGTCGTGCCCTCTGCGTTGTCAGTCACATGACAGGGTCCTGCCTTTCCATTTCAGCTGCAGAGCGAACCGAAGTGGAGACTTGAGATGGCCGTGGCGGGGTGTCCCGAAAAGTCTTGTCCCCATAGTCTTGTCCAGAGCAGTTCATCCTTTCTGTTGTCTCCATGCCAGGGGGAGGGCGGAGGGGCCTCATCTCATTGTGTGTCGTGCCCTCTGCGTTGTCAGTCACATGACAGGGTCCTGCCACCCTCGCCCTCCCACAGACACTAGAGGTCCCAGCCTCAGGCCATGCCGAGCACTGGGCTGAGCCACTCGGGTGACGGCCACCGTGCCCACTTTATAGATAACACAACTGAGGCCCGTGACACCACTACTCTTGTTCCTATCACTCACTCAAGGGTGTGATGGCTCACTTCTGGGGAGATCAGACTATTAATCATCTCTACAGGGCCACAGGCAGGGGACCCCAGGGGAGAGCCATCTCCAGCGGCCCACTTGACTAGCACTGAGCGTGGTCGGTATCCGGCCGGCTCCTGGTGCCTGCTACCTCTTACTTAAAGCATGTCCCCAGCCCACAGCGCACACAGAGGAGAGGGGACAGGGACGCTCTTTAGAAAACACACGTCAGCACTAAGTAGTGAGTGATGGCTGATGGCGAAGGAGAGAGGCGAGCAGAAGATAAAGGCACGTTGTGGGCTCTCCCGTGACCCCGAGACGGATGACTGACAATTTATGTTAGGCTTTCTTCTGCCTCTATGTCAGGAAGCAGAGGAGCACGCCATGTGCTTCACAAAGACTCCCCAGACACAGTGAATGAGACTCTCAGCCGTGACACTTTAAATCATCAACCACGGTCATCTAGAAAATCCCCTTCCATGGAAGCAGGCTTTCCCTCCAGTGTCCCATGGATGAGCTCCCCTCGGTACAGCTCAGGTCTGGGACTTTGAGGGCCTCCCCACGACCGTCTCGTCCAGGCTCTGCTTCCCACAGGCCCATGGTGTGAAGGCCGGCAGAGGCCCTGCCTCTGGAGGCATCCATACCATCATTTTCTCCACCTCTTGCTCCACTCTGAGCTGGGGCTGGGAGAGAGGGAGGCACCTTGGTCCCACATCCCCTCAGCCCCTTCAGAAGACAGGCACAGCTCCCCCTCAGGAGTCCTGAGAAGGGACACCTTTCTTCCAAGCAAGGCAGGACAGAGGATGACCCAAGAGGTCATACGGCTTGTGCGTGTCAAGGCGTCAAAGTGGAAGAGCCGGGATGCAGACTAAGACCTTCCCACCTCCAAGGCCGCACGCTCGGCATGCCCGGCTCACACCCGAGACAAGGGACAGGACTCACTGATTTGTGGCTGGGTGCCGCAGCCTTCCCCTGCCCACTCCCGGAACCCCAGTGGGGTGGGGTTTGACCCTCTGATTCTGGCCTTGTTTTTTGTACTTGTGTTTTCAAAGCACAAATAAATCAACAAAAATACCCCCAGCAAACGAGGGACCCCCCCCCCCAAGCCAGCTCCAATGATGGCCAGGGCTCTGAGCCTATACTCGAGTGTTTACCTCCCAAATGCATGAAGGAAAGAAACGCTGGGTACAAACAACCTCCGTTCACATTGTCCAGGCTTCCAAGTGTAGCCGTGTGTCGGTCTGTGTGTGCCGTGTGGTTCCCGGCCCCGCGTGGCATGCTCCCCGCCGATGTCGTCTGCCAGCGCCTTCATGCTTTCTGGCTGCCTCTGCTCTGCACCTCTGAAAGCCCCGGATTGGCTCTGGTCGCTTTGCCGCCTTTGGTTTGACGTTCCTGTTCCGTTTGGCCCTCGTGTGTCCCCTCTCATCCCAGCTCATCCGACCGTCTCTCCTCCTGTTCCTTTTCTGTGCGTGCCACGTAACCTGTTCCATGTCGTATGGTTTCTTAACTGTGTGTGGTTTGTTTTTTCTTTAAGATTAATTAAAAAAAAAAAAAGCCTCTCTTCTTTTCCTACTTTATTCCTACCTGGTCCTCCTCCCCCTCTGCATGGTCGAACCTCTGCTTCCAAATTAACAAGGCTCAGTCTCTCACTAGGTCTGGTGCCGCCGGCGTGGACTATGCTTCCTTTAACACTGTTCCCATCATCTCTCTGATGGTGCTTGGTGACTCCTCCTGTCTTCATGTGGGAGTTCTGACCCACACCAACGCAATTAAAAACCCGGCTCATGGATGCACAAAACCTGGGTCTCTCCCGTTCTTCCCCATCCTGCCGCTGCTCATAACACCCAGCAACTG